CAAAGTTGTGGGAACCCTGTGGAAACCTTGGAGCAAAGCTGTGCGAACCTTGGGAAAATTGGGGGCACCTTGTGGGGCAAAGTTGTGGGAACCTTGTGGGAACCTTGGAGCAAACTTGTGGGAACCTTGGGGACCTTGGGAGGTCATTGTGGGAACCTTGTGGGGCAAAGTTGTGGGAACGTTGTGGAGCAAAGTTGTGGGAACCTTGTGGGAACCTTTTGGGAACCTTGTGCTTGGGAACCTTGGGGGAACCTTGAGGGGCAAAGTTGTGGAGACCTTGTGGGAACCTTGGAGCAAAGCTGTGGGAACCTTTGGACAACCTTGGAGCAAAGCTGTGGGAACCTTGGAGCAAAGTTGTGGGAACGTTGTGGAACAAAGTTGTGGGAACCTTGTGCTTGGGAACCTTGAGGGAACCTTGTGGGAACCTTGTGCTTGGGAACCTTGGGGGAACCTTGCGAGGGCCTTGTGGGAACCTTGGAGCAAAGCTGTGGGAACCTTGGAGCAAAGTTGTGGGAACGTTGTGGAACAAAGTTGTGGGAACCTTGTGCTTGGGAACCTTGGGGGGAACCTTGTGGGTCAAAGTTGTGGGTGCCTTGTGGAACAAAGTTGTGGGAACCCTGTGGAAACCTTGGAGCAAAGCTGTGGGAACCTTGTGGGGCAAAGTTGCGCAACAAAGTTGTGGGCACCTTCGGAACCTTGTGGGGCAAAGTTGTGGGAACCTTGTGGGAACCTTGGAGCAAAATTGTGGGAACCTTTGGGCAACCTTGGAGCAAAGCTGTGGGAACCTTGGAGCAAAGTTGTGGGAACGTTGTGGAACAAAGTTGTGGGAACCTGGTGGGAACCTTGTGCTTGGGAACCTTGGGGGAACCTTGTGGGTCAAAGTTTTGGGGGCCTTGTGGAACAAAGTTGTGGGAACCCTGTGGAAACCTTGGAGCAAAGCTGTGGGAACCTTGGTAATCTTGGGGGAACCTTGTGGGGCAAAGTTGCGCAACAAACTGGGCGATGTTTAGTTGTTGCGTGATTGCGCGGTTTTGTCTTTTTTCTGGGGATTGGATTGATTGAACTAGCATCCGGACATTCTAGCTATACCCTGGCAAGTGCCTGGTTGCGCAGTTCGACTCTTTATTAAATTAAGAGACATAATAACAATTGACTGGCCGGCTGAGCTCAACTTTGTCATTCGGCGCATGGTCTGACACCAGCTAGCAAGTGCCCAAGTCCACGGGCGCCAGGCGCGTCCTGCAGGCGCGTCCCAGGCGCGTCCTGCAGGCGCGTCCCCAGGCGCGTCCTTTTAAAAAGCTGTCATAGCGCGACAGAATCCTCTATTAAAGGCTCGTCGTAGCACAGAATCCTCTTCGAGGTTCCTACTACAGGCGCGTCCCCAGCTAGGCGCGTCCTCAGGCGCGTCCCCAGGCGTCCTGCAGGCGCGTCCCACGCGCGTCCTGCAGGCGCGTCCCCAGGCGCGTCCTTCAAAGGGCTGTCATAGCGCGACAGAATCCTCTATTAAAGGCTCGTCGTAGCACAGAATCCTCTTCAAGGTTCCTACTACAGGCACGTCGCCAGGCGCATCCTCAGGCGCGTCCTTTTACAGGCCGTCGTCATAGCACGACAGAATCCTCTAAAAAGGCTCTCGTCGTAGCGCAGAATGCTCTTCAAGGTTCCTACTACAGGCGCGTCCTGCAGGCGCGTTTGCAGGCGCGTTCCCAGGCGCGTCTGCAGGCGCGTCGTCCTGCAGACGCGTCCGCCGCGTAGTGTTAGGCTACTGACTACTTAATTAAAGGATCTAGGCTAATTCAGATTCAGAAGCCGACAAGTTATTGATTAGCCGGAAGCATTCTGTCCGAGTCACTCTGACTCATTGCACTGTCCATAGACCTGGGAAAATTATTGAGGGCATGTAAATTGTCGGCAACGCACGCCTGCACTGAGGGGTCTGTTCCCATCAGTTCATGCAATGCAGCGCTGGCTTCTCTCACCTGTTCCATAGCGTCTTGCACCTGCGCAATTGCGACCTGTTTTGACTCAGCATCTGCCCCACTCACCAACTCCCACTCTTGTTGAGCCGTAGGCTCGTCAGAGTCAGGGGCGCTGTGATTGTTGCCAGCCAGGTGGCATTGTTCTAGCCAATGGTTGCGCAAGGCAGCCATTAGAGGCCCGCGGGTTCGTCGACTCTCGGACTCGGCGCAATCAATGCCATGTTCTTTCAGACGAACTTCGAGGCTGGCTTTGGTCATGTTGGACATGCCCTTCGTAGGATCTGAGGGGCTTTGGCGCCCCCTGATCCAGGAGCAGAAATGGTGGCGAAGTTCTATTTTGTTCAATCCGCCCAAATCAGCTGCAGCAGGGAGACCGTGCCCAAGAAACGAGTTAAAGGGTTGGGACAAAGCAAGAGCAACCAAGCAACAGCTAAACATTTCCTTTAAAATAGATAGGCATCTAAGATAAATTGACTAATTGACTTGACGTGGTGCTCAACCCGACGGTTCTCGGCCCGCAGGCTTGCGCCCGAAGGTGCTTGAATGTTCTCGGCCCGCCGGCCTGCGCCCGAAGGTGCTGAACCCGAAGGTTCTCGGCCCGCCGGCTTGCGCCCGAAGGTGCTGAACCCGAAGGTTCTCGGCCCGCCGGCTTGCGCCCGAAGGTGCTGAACCCGAAGGCTCTCGGCCCGCCAGCTTGCGCCCGAAGGTGCTGAACCCGAAGGTTCACTCGGCCCGCCGACATGCGCGACGACCCGAAGGTCAGGTGCTGAACTTGATGCCAGGTTCTCGGCCCGCAGGCCTGCGCCAAGGGCCCTGTCCTCGGCCCGCAGGCCTGCGCGCGAAGCTGTGCTGAACCTGAACTTTGGCCTGCAGGCCTGCGCCCGCAGTGCTCAGCCAGCCAGGGGGGTCCAGGCCAGTAGTTACCATTGCCTGCCGGGGCCTGCAGGCCTGTGCCCGCACAGAGTCTGAAAATGACGACGACGAGTCTCTGGTCATGTGACGAAGACACATTAAATTCAGTATTAAGGAGCCTTGACAGTACAGAACTGCCACAGAAGACCCAAACTAAGCAACCACAGCTTGAAAAACTAAGAGTCTAAGAGTCAAAGCAGCAAACTGCTGCTGCTGGGCTGGCCAGTCTGAAGCAACCACAGAGCAACCAGTGCAACATAAAAAGATACAACATCAGTGGCAAAATGCCCTGACAGAGCACAACAGTGCAACCATGCAACAACAAAA